GGGGAGTCTGGGTCGCTGGATAAAAAGCTGCTAGCACTGAAGGCTGCAATTATGGAAAGGTTAATGTATTCAAGCAGAGCGAGGTGTATTTATTTGCTAAATTGCTTTGCCTCCCCAGCAAGGCAGGGTCACTCAGGTACACCTCTCACCCAACCTGCTGGCACTGACTGGGTCAAAGGTAATTGAACCAGGTCGTTAGCTGCTGGTTCGGCAGCCTGGCTTGGCTGGAGGCAGAGACAGAGAGCCCTGGGAGAGCTAGCCCGAGAGTTAGTGCAGAAATATGTGAGGTGTTTGATTACCCAGCAGTGTTTTCCCACAATTCATGAATATACTTATCTCCAGAGTTTTGTAATGTGTAGACTTTTAAGTAGCTCAGTTCTAAAGCTTATCAGACACATCAGCTATGACCTATAATCTTGAAAGCAAATTTTGCTCAGCTGAAAAGAGAGCTTTAATGTCAACGTGCAGTGAATTGCCTCCCTTCCTTACATTTGCCTGAAATAAAGGCTCTATTTCAGGCAAAGCGATGCAGAATTTGGACAAAAGAACAGTGGGAGGAAAAGCTATACTAAAGGTCTAGAAGACGTCTTAGAAACTATTAATGGTCTTCTCAGATTAAATGGGGTAAAACTTCTTCAAGATGCTTAGAAAATAAAAAGATACTAAACACTATTCTGCTGAGTGTCCTTTTAAGAGTGCCTCTAACTGACTTCAAGACACACATCTGAAAATCCGGAAGACTCTCCAGTGAGCCTGTTGGTGACATAGGGCCTGATGGCAGCCAGCTAGAGGGCTGTGGATGGGATAATGCTCACACCATGTAGTGAGCCAACAGGAGCTGGGTGGTGGCACACCACACAGCTGCCTTACAGACCTTCCTATCCCTGGAGGATTAAATAAAATAGAGGTATTGTGTATCTTGCATGGTGATCAGGTCCCTCACTGAAAGGCATTTATTTGGCGCCAGTATCAGACAGGAACCTTCATCTCCAGATAGTGCTGCACCAGTACACTCTAAACAGCCTGAGGAGGACAGTCACACTGCAGAATGATTCTGGTGGGACTAATCAGGATATTGATAACGCAGTGTGGCTCTCTATGCCTCTGACACATGTTCATTCAATGTTCAAGGACTCTCCCATAAATGCAGGGCACTGTGATTTGTGGTCGGGATAGTGGGGCCATCTGTCAGGAGTCGGGGAAGGGGCACTTCCATCAACTGTGCACCTCCCAGGAAGGCTAAAAGCATTTCTACCCTCCTGAGGAGGAAATCAGCTCAGGGAAGCAGCAAGTTTAGCACATGCAGAGCCCTCAAGATGCTGGGAGAATGCACCTCCAGCCCTGCTGCCAGTGCATGGCCATGAGCCTCTGCCTCATCCTTCTCACTGCCCCTGCTCCTGCTCTCCTTCAAAACTGATATCCCACTGGTGCAAATTAGATAAGAATTGGTTCAGAGTCTTTAATTGTGATTTTTATTTTTAATCTGCATAATTAGGCTTGTAATGGGCTATTTTCACAGCCTTGGGACTGCTCTGAGGTCATTAGTGCTGGCCCTGTGAGATTACCATCTGCCTGAAGAGGGTTAGGGCTGCAGGGCAGCCTGACGAGCCTCCTGTGGCTCATTCAAACCACTCACCACTTGAACCCCATCTGCTTTCCCAAGCCACCCAAGGGGGTACATCCCTGAAAAACATTAGTCATCTGTCCCAGCTCGTGTCCTCAACAGATGCAGTAGTTTAGGAAAATGTGGTGCTGAGGGGAGATTAATTGGATCTGGGTTTTAGAACAAGTCCTTCTGTATTAGCTTTATCTTTAATAAAGAAATCTGAAAGAAAGCAAAAGTAGAGGCAATACAGTAGCACCAGGTTTGTGCTTCCCAGGTTGTGGGGAGGAACTTGGAGGCAAGCAAAGACTGGAGTGAGTTAGGGGATGGAGATGGGCAGGTACCTGGATGTCCTGGTGCAACTCTCCCAAAGGAAGGTGGTGACTTTTGGAGAGCAATGAGACTGACAGGGTGGCTGGAAAGGGAGTAGGAAAAAGACAGTTGAACCTGGCTGAAAATTTCAGTACCTTGTCCACCTCCTTGCTTCCCACATCCTTATGACTTCCCTCCTTTTCTATCCCCAGCATCCTCCTGATCCTTCCCAAGACATTAACGGCCCCAGGAATCCTATTCCTTGCTCTGTCTACTTTGGAATTTGCTGCTGCTATGAAGTTTTATTTTGCCTCAGCAAGGAAGAGAACAAAATAAATCTTCATTCTGGGGGTAGCAAAACTTCCCATGTGCTGTTTAAAGGCTGTTTTAAATGTCTGATGAAAGCACATTTCAGATGCAAGCTCCTACCTTTGATTAACCCTCTGAATATGGGCCTTGCCTCTAGGGACTCGCAGTAGATTTTGGGGGTGGGTGTTTGCAGAGTAATTGGTAACTTTGTACATGGAAGCTGGACAGCAGGTGTTACCAAAACAGTTCTCCTTTATACCTTTAGCTCATTCCCATTTCAGGTTTTCCATGGCCAGTGGCATTTCTCATAAATAATCTTTGGCAGACATTTCAAATGTTGGTAAGAATCAATATCTGAAAGATGTCCAATGTCAAGTGTGGATCTCTAACCCCCACCAAAACTTTTGGCTGGGAAATACTGTCCAGTTGCCTGAAAACTGGACTTTAACTATCACTGTGAGGTCAAAACAGTGGCATACAAATAATATGATACTTTCTCGGCAGCAGTGATTTGCAGGACCACTACTTCTCCCCTCCCACCAGCGCAAATAGAGTTTGGTGGTGAACAAAGCTGAAGAGAAGCCAAGACCCCAACCAGAGCAGCTCTCCTCTCACAGTCTCTGTGCATACAGCAGCAGAGAGGGTTGGCTGCACCAGAGGTTTGGTGTTCATTACATGTATTAGGGAACAGGCACCACAATGGGCTGTGCTGCTGCACCTTGCCACCCTGCCCTGGCCATGGGAGAACCCCAACATGCCTGTGGGAGGGTGCAGGCTCCTGCTGTTGTCAGACAGCCACGCTGATGTCATAGAATCATAGAATCAACCAGGTTGGAAGAGACCTCAAAGATCATTGAGTCCAACCCTACCACTGTTACCAGACCATGGCACTAAGGGCCACATCCAGTCTCATCTTGAAACCCTCCAGGGATGGTGAATCCACCACCTCCCTGGGCAGCCCATTTTTACCTGCTGCATCAGGGACTTGTTTCCATTCCCCTCATCAGCTTGGTTTGCTCCCTCTGCCTGATGGCAGGAGGGGCAGGGCTTCAGCGTCTCCTGATGAACTTCTTTTGGGCCCGGAAGGATGTGACTCCGGCAGCCTATTTCCCTTTCACTCTACCTAATGCTTTTTAACCTCTCTACTTCTTTGAGCTCTGCCACCAGGCACAGCAAGTCATTCACCCGCTCACACCGTACAGGTGTGACTCACACTAACGCACACCAGGCACTCTGTGCTCAGTGACCTGCACAGCTGTGTCCTGCACGGAGAGTTCTGTCTGGGTTACAACATTCCTCTTGGGAGTGGCAGCAACAGCTTTCGCTCGCGTAGATACCGTTGCTGGGTCTAGCAGAGCTAAGGGAAAAACCAAAAGCAAAGACAAAGGGAAAAAAAAGGAGCAAGGGGTGTCTGCGCCCTGCCTGCTCACACTGCCTGTGCTGACTGCCCTCACTAACTGCCTCTATCCAGGTCGCAGCACTCCCTGGGGTTGTTTAAATCCCCCGCCAAGGAGCTCGGTCCCGCCCCTGGCCAGCTGGGAGAGCCTCCCGCAGGCAGCACATCTCTGCTTTGCTCTGAACACTAACTCAGCATGGCTCTTCTGTCTCGAAACTCAGCCTGCAGCAGGCTCGTACACCTGTTGTGTGAAGGGATCCAACTGCCTCCTGGTCTTGCCAGTGCTTGAAGTTAAGTCAGCTCCACACACAGGCACCCTGGGGGCTCAAAAAGATCAATAAACCACAGAAATGCTTTCCTATGACAACATTTATCTCACTTAAGTGTTACTACTCTTAGAGAATCTTTGGGGAGAGCTCTCTCCTTCAGGTGTCTCCATTCAGCCAGCGGTGCTTGGCCACCTGCCATGCCTCAGGCCGTGCGGCCGGGCTGAACTGGAGTAGTTGGGTGATGAGGGTTTGGCAGGGCTCTGGCAGTGCGGGCATCCCCTCTGGGTACAGTGCCCCTTTCTTCTGCCGCTGGGGCATGCTGAGGACATCGTCATCATCAAACGGAATGCAGCCAACCACCATCACGTACAGCATCACCCCCAAGCTCCACATGTCGAACTTCTTGGCGTCATAGGGGATGTTCATCAGCACCTCTGGGGGAGTGTAGGCTACAGTCCCACAGAACGTGGCGCTCAGGTCTGGGGAGCTATTGACTTCCTTACTAAAACCAAAGTCACTGATCTTGACCCGGTGGCTGTCAGCAGTGAGCAGCACATTCTCACACTTAAGATCGCGGTGCACCAAGTTGCGGTCGTGCAAGTAGCTCACAGCCCTCACAACCTGCACAAATATGTCCCTGGCTTCGGGGATGCAGGACAGCTTTCCCTGCTGCTTCACCAGCTGCAGCAGGGTAGTGTCCATGGCCTCCATCACGATGTAGACCTTCACATTGCAGACCTGGATGATCTCAAAGATGTGCACAATGTTGGGGTGCCGGATCTTGCGCATGATGGAGAGCTCCCGGGGCAGAAACTTGTATCTGATCTTTTGGGATACTTGTTGCTGGTCCAACACCTTAATGGCTAAGGGACCCTTGTATTTGCTGGAAGTGGCTGCTTTTACCTTAGAGAAGCTGCCCTCCCCTAATGTGGGACCCAGATTGTAGCCCATCTTACTGAGTAGATTCTCTCCTGTTCCTGGCATGATGTTTGATCTGGATGAGCTTAATTGAAGACAGTGTCTTGTTCCAGGATTTGAAAGCGGCAATGCCTGTAGCATGGCAGCTATTGGCATTTGCCCATGGCAACCAGTGGTTCCATGGGTTCTGTGCCCCACCCAGGTACTGTGATGCGGTAGAATAGAATGTTGTGCAGTAGAACTGTCTCGGTTTGAGAGACAGGTG